AGCATGAACAAGATCTCAGAACCCCAGAAATATCCCTGGGGTAGCCCTAGGTATAGGCAAATGTAGGCCCCAAAAGTGACCACGAGGTGGAGAACAGTGATCTGGCCAAGAGATTCTTTATTGCTGGGTGGGAGAGGGAGTGAGCCAAGAAAGAGAAAGAGAGAAAGAGAAAGAGAGAGAGAGAGAGAGAGAAAGGGAGGGACTTAAATACCCCTCAATGAGACTCGCCATGATCTGATTGGTTAGGATCTTATAGTTCATGCTGATTGGAGGTTGGGGCAGAAGGAGAATTCAAGCTAGACTTGAGGCAGGACTGTGACCCTGGGAAACAGAAGCTTAAGGGTGCAGTAAGAACCGAAACCCATCGGCGCCATTATTGCCAACACCAGGGACACCTCGTGCAAAGAACTGGCCTTTAACAGTGCAGCCATAATTCCATGAAAGGGTAAAACTCCAATTGGGCTGGAATTTTGCTATCCTAAATGTATTGAGTCCATTTAATAATAGGATTCTCATTTGTCCCACTTCACAAGTGGTTAGATCAAATGCAGCTCAGGACAACTTGAAGTCCCCCACTCAGCTGAGTTCTCTTCACCAGGGCTTTCAGGCAGCACAACTGATTGTCTAAGAAATAAAACCCTCAGTAGCCTGGTGGTTCTGGTACAATAAAACTACTTTCCATGAGTTCCACCCAAGTAGAACTAAAACTGCCACATTTTCAGATATATATACCTGGAGAGTTGTAATTAACCATTCTGACCCAAAAAGAGTTTTATCAGTTACAGTTGCTGTATGATCTCCAAAATCCTTTGTTTTGGTATCCTACAAATTCTGGTACTTTTTGAGCATATGATGATAAGGCTGAAATGTGAGCTATTTTTTCTGTTACTCAAATATGTGCATCAATGTTTGTGCCTGCTTTTTGGTGGTAAGGGCTTCAGGAATAAAAGCTTATTCCGTTATTGGTATAAAATGATTAAGAAGACAGTCTCAGATACAACTGCTTGTGAATCATACTAGTCAATATGATGCATAGATGACATGCAGGAATTTCAGGTGCTCAGGGTTCTTGAGCTGCTCTGAGAATGAAAGCACAGACAGACTCTAACAGCAGAGGTCAGAAAGATTTTATTAGTAGAGAATTTAGTTGGAGAAAAGAGAAGAGAAAGACTGCGTATTGGGGAATGAAGAGGGACCCGGAAACTGGTGATCCCATGGGTCAGGGTGGGGAGTGGAGTTTTATAGTGTTTTGCATTGCCTGGTGGTGGAGATGCCTTTCAGACGCAAATGGGCATTTCCTAGGGAGGAGAAGTGTCTCCTTGACCACTTATCACCTTTTGGGACCTCCTGCATTCTGTCCTTCAGTCCTTCAAATATATGATCAATAATGATAATTAACTTCACACATGATCACCAGAAGGAGAAAATAATTCATGTAGAAAGAGAGTGGCAGTAAATTTACCTTCCTGTCAGGTTAAAAAAAGATGTTTGGTGGCCAGGCTGAACAAATAACAAAAAGAATTCACTTACCAAATTAACATCCAGGTACAATAGAACAGTATAGAAGGAATATCCAAAATAGGAAAAAAAAAAAAAAAAGAAAAGCCCTGGCTATTCATTTTGTTTTATGAAATTGTCAATTACTATAGCCTTTCTACTTTTTCAGATTTGACAACCCATGTAACCGGGAACAGAGAAGGGAAAAACTTTTTGTATAGTCAGCTTGCATGGTGGCCAGTTTGCTCTGCTTGTTAGTTCAACTGACATTTTTACCCTCTCTGTCTACATGCTGGGGAATCCAACATTAGCTCCCTTTAGTCAATTAAACTAGGCAGTCTTCTATCCCTTATCTCTTTCTGATGCCCAGAATTGTAAACCTGTCAGCCAAGACATACAGCCTCAGAGATGTGGTGCTGGACACTTGCAGAACCATGGCCAGTGGCCACGGTGGCCATGCATCTTGTCACATAGTCAAGCTGAGCCCCTGAACTCTCCTCTCCTGTAAAAGGCGGACATTTGCTCTCAGAAGTGGGGCAACAGCTTGGAGAGGTTGACTGTCCCTGTCCTCCTTTTCATCTGACCAATAATAAACTGTTTTTCCTTTTCCTCAAAACCCTGCTTTCTTTATTTGTAACTTGCAAATTAGTATTGAGGCCAGCAAGGTTGAGTAGAGGCTTTCAGTCCTACACAAATCTCCTGTAACATGAAGTTCAAAATACTACTTCTGGGTTGGTGCAGTGACTCAAATGGTAGTGTGCCTGTGTAGCAAGCATGAAGCCCTGAGTTCAAACCCTGTACCACCAAAAAAAAAACACTTCTGGTGATGCACCCTAGGCATGAATGTTTGTAGTAGCCCTCTTAATAACTGCCAAAATCTCAAACAACTCAGCAGCCCTTCAGTGGGTGATGGGGGCATCCACTTTGTGAATGCTAATCAGTAGCACTGATAAAGGTAACAATGTGGATAGATCTCAAACGAATTATGTTGAGATTTATATAACTTTTGTAAGTTGAAAAAAAAAGTTGCAAACTGTGATTCCACATATGAGACTGAAAGAGAAAACTAGGGACAAACAAATTAGTTCTTGTTGGGAGTTACAGATGTGAGAAGGAAGGGATTGGGTCAAATATAGTAAAGGGTATTCTGTCCTGATTATAATTTCAATTACATGTATTTATATGTTAAAATTCATAGCACTATGTACCAAAAAGGCCAATTTATCTGCACGATATTTTTTACAAACTGTTTTAAATATAAAATGTGTATCTTTAATTGTCCATAGCAAACACATATATGTGTACCCTTGCATACCTATGAAAAGACTATTTTAGTTCTCTTGTATGTGCCCTCCCCTAAGCTGCACATTTTTTGTTAGTTTAGATTGACACCTAAAATAGTAACAGGATATATTTTGAGGATGGTTGTCTGGGAACGCCTGCCACTCTCTTCTCTCCACCCTCTCCATTATTTGTCTCTCCCTGCCTAACCCCCTTGTTTGTTTGTTTGTTTGAGACAGGATCATGCTGTGTTTTGCAGGCTGGCCTTGAACTTGTGATCCTCCTGCTTCAGCCTCCCTAATGCTGGGATTATAGGCACAAACCCAGTTTCTCTTCTTTTTCTGTCTCTCCCCATCTAACTCTCCTTCCAGTGTCTCTCCATCTCTCTCCCCATTTTTGCTCTCTCATTCCCTGTTTGTGCCCTCTTTCAGTCTGTCTCCACCTCTTCGTTCCTCATTTTTTCCCACAAATACTGTGGGTACCCCACCCTCGTCCCTTGGGCCACCTGTCACCTGCTCACAGCTGACTGAGGCCTGGATGGCTGAGCTCCTCCCCTGCCCTGGGCTTCTCTGGACAAGAGAGAGAACTTGGCCTGTGCTGGGGTCACCGGAAGTGCCCACACGGTAAGATTTGAGGACAAATACCCAGTCTCTGGCTCTGAGAGAAGGCAGAAGTTCACGTACAGTCTCCCAGCATCGTGGCAGATGTACCCCTCTGTCCACCCAGATAACCTGTTCCTGGCCACCGCTGTGGTGTATTTTGTGGAGCCGTGGGTTGGTAAAAGAATTTACCAAGAATTAGTGTAGCAGGGAGGAGGGACAGAAAAGAAGCAAACAAGTCTGTGTTCGGATAATGTAGCAGGGGGGAGGGGATGGCATAGCAGGGAGCTAAAACTTAAAGAATCTGAACGTGAAGGTCACTCAGCACTGAGAAAAAGCTAGCCAATGAAATAGTATGTAACCATATATGTACGCATTAAACTTTGTTTCTTGCTTCTGTAACCTGCCTAGAATGGTGTATAAGGAAAGCCTTTGGATGTGAATCCGCTGAGCCGCTGCTGGCACGCTAATAAATATTGCTTCCTGAAAAGCCTTGGTGTCCAGTTTCCCTGCTTGAATATCCCGCAACATTTCGAGAAACCAGAGAGTTATTAGGACGCCAAAGGGCATAATGCACTGCAAAAGTGTTCAGAGTAAGTTATACCTCAGGTTAGGCCACTTTCGATTGACTGTCTCCCTTTTTATGCACTTAATTGGTGTTCTCTTTCTGGGACCATGGTTTGAATTTCTTGTGCAAGGAAACATTTCTGTTCCACCTGGGCCTCCAAGGGGGCTGGGATCCACCCCTCACATTCCATCTATACTGTTATTTCTTTGCCCACCAAATTTCCTTAAAATGGGGGAGCCTCCTCCACAACTTCATTGCAGGTCCAGTGTGCACCTTCCCCTCCCCACTCCATTCCTGGGCTGCCACCCAGGTGGATTTTGTGAGCCCTGTCCTTGGCTCAGGCCTGCAGTGGGGACCAACTGAGGCCAACTTTCGCTCTTGACCTGTGTCTAGATCTGTCTCTGGGTGGTGTGTCCCTAGACTCTATCTCTTTTTATCTTCTAATTGCCACCCTCTCTTCAATTCTTTCAGCTGTCTCCAAGGGACAAAAGGTATGTATGGTTAAACAGTCCCACTCACAGGTGTGGTGTGGTTGCTCATGATCTCAGCCCTTGTTTTGGGAGAGGTTGCAGAGCTGTTGTCCAGAGTCAGATCCTGGCTGGTTGTTCATCGTGAAGAGGCTCTACTATTAGGGGTAGTTTCCTGCCCTTGTCATGAAGTTGTTATCAGTTCTGTCCTTCCTGGAATCAAAGATGATTGCAAAGAGAATGGTTTAGAGCAAACATAGATACAAAATGAAGGCAGAAAAAAATATATATAAGTTTAAAAAAAAAAAAGAAGGTAGAGATGCCATTCTTTTCTCCTGCTTTTAGTTAAAGGCCCAAGTAGGGAGTCAGTGCTTTTCAGCAAAGCAGTCTACTTGCACCTGTTACATCATCACAGACAGGTGGGCTTTGGGTGCAACCCTCGTGAGAACCCACCTGGCGGAGCGCCCGCTCCTCCCGCCCTGAAGGGGGCGCTGTGGGGCAGAGCTGTCTCCGCGTCCCAGCACGCACCGGGGGCGGGGCCCGCGCTGGGTCTGGGGCGGCCCTGGCAGGGTCGGGGGCGGGGCCGAGCGGGATGCTGCGGAGTCGCTTCGTGCGGTGTCACCAGGGGCATCTCAGGAGGCCCAGGTTGAACGAGTGCACGTGGGCCATGGCCAAGCCGGCTCCGGTAAGGGGTTGCCTGGGCGGACGTCCGTTTTTGAGGAGCGGGGGTCTCCGGGATGCGGCGTCCTAGGACCGCGTTGGGCGGCTCGGGACCCGGACTGGGCCTGGGTCCCGCTTAGGAGGCAGCGGGTGGCGCAGCCCCAGGGCTCATCCGTGGCCAGGCCCGCACCGGGGAGACTGCAGAAGCGGTCTGCGGGCGGACGCGGGTGACATGCCAGCGCGACTTCACGCTAAGTCACTGAATTCAGAGCAGATGTTTTTAAAGATTTAAACGTTTGAGTCCTTGGAATATTTGGCGGGACATAAATGTCAGAATTTAGCATCTAACTTGATAGTGTGTATAATAGTGGTAGAAGAGTAAAATCTGTACAGGTAACATGCTGTGAAACCGGAATTTTGGACCCAAGGCCCAAATTCTACATGCCAGGGCTGGCCACTCGCCCCTATTTGCCAGATAAAGAGGTATGGTGAAGGCAAAGAAAGGAGATTTATTACACAGCTTGGAGGATGCCGTGGGAAGACGTAGAGTAAGCACTTAGCCCATCTTCGGGTACAGACATGAACTTTAGCTTTAAATAGACAAAGAACTGGGGGCGGGGGACAAAGGTATGCTTGTGACAGTCCCAGTCACAGGTGTGGTCTGGTTTATTATCTCAGCCCTTGTTCTGAGAGCGGTACCCAAGTTATCTAAAGTCAGGCAGGTGATCCATCCTGAGGAGGCTTTACTGTTGGGGTTCGTTTTTGTCCGTTGTCATGATGATGTTATCCATCATTCCTGTCCTTCCTCGATTCTAAGGTGATTGCAGAAGAGAAAGACTCAGAGCAAAGGACAATAGGTACAAAATGGAGATGGAGGCAGGGCGCCAGTAATCCTAGCTACATGGGGGAGAGACCCTATCTCGAAAATAATCCACTCAGGGCTGGCTGCCTAGCAAGCATGAGGCCTTGAGTTCAAACCCCAGTACCGCCAAAAAAAAAAAAAAAAAAAAAAATCTAGAACCAGTAGTACCAAGTCCTAGGCTAAGGCGGATCACTTGAGCCCAGGAGTTCCATACCAGCCTGGGCAACAGCAAAATTCTGTGTTTAAAAAAATAGAAATGAAAAGCTTAAACATAAAACAAAATTTGCACCTTTTGAAAGAAAATGTAGAGTATCTTTGTGAAAAGAAAATTTTAAACAAGACACAAAAAAGAGAACCAAGAAGACACTGGTATATTTGTGTTTGAAAACTTCTGTACAACATAAAACAGAAAAAGCAAAATGAAAGGTAAGCAAAAGACAAGGAGAAGGTATCTGTGTAGTCAACAATCAATATAGAAATTATATATATATGTATGCATATGTGCATATTGAAAATAGTATAATGAAACCCACTAAAAACTTAAAAGGAGACGTAGGTGGGAGGGGAGTTAAGAAAGTATTATGAATTAGATGAACTGATCAAAACATGTTACATGTTATGTGTATGAATATCATAACAAACCCCTTTGTACAATTAATTTATGCTAATTTATTAAAGCTATGTAAAGAAGTATATAAATAAAAATATGTGTTTCAATAAAAGTGTGAGCAAATATGACCATGCTGTTCACAGAACTGAAAAGAAATTGTCAATGGATAACAGAATAAAAAATTATGACAGTGGAATCCTACACAAGATTAAAATAAATTAGTTCTATATATATCAGTGACAGATCTCAGAATTTTGAGTGAAAAATACAAGTTATATTTTAATAAACATTTATACCTAAAATATATGAAATAATACATGTGTGCTTAAAACATGAACTGAAAAGTCACACATTCATCTTCAAAGGAAGAATAGGTTAGCAATATTGAAAAGAGGAACCAAAGGAACTTGTTTCATCTGTCAGGTTCTGTTTGTTTCACTGAAAGAAAATCTGAAGAAAAAGTTAAATTGAATACTAGGAGGCTAGTTATAATCTCTAAATTTCTGGCTCTTTTAAACAATGAAGGCTTTCTGAGCATTTTTTAAGAACTTTAAAGTCAGAGACCAGGAGAATAAGTTTATCAAGCAAATAAAAACATAACATTCAGTTATGCTATGATACATCATGCAGTTCTAAAAATCCTAGTGCTCTGCAAAATTGTGCAATAAAAATTAGAGCTTATGGGAGAAATGTTAGGCATACGACACTCAAAAACTTCATGTCAAATTAAAAAGGAAAGATTGGAACCTATTAAAAATAGCAGTTTCGTGTATGTTAAATGATTCAGAAAGAAACTTGGGTTGAGGGATAGCTCAAGTAGTAGAGAGCCTGTCTAGAATACTGAAAGCCCTGGGTTCTGTCCATAGCACCACTAAAACAAAAACCCTTAATTACCTGCAGTTTGCTTGTGGAAGTTGGTTGGTGTTATCAGAAGTGGTGACAGGCAGGTTACATGAATTGAGATGGAACAGGAGGGCTCATAACACAAGGTAGTCTGGGGTAGTGGCAGATGTTTGAAGGATGTGTTTGTGTGCATTCTGTGTGTCCAACAGCGCTCAGATCTCTGTTCAGCTAGTGCACATTTCCTTATCCTTGCCACTATTGACATTTTATGCTGGATAATTTTCTGTGTGGGAACCATGCTATCATAGGGTGTTTACAGCATCCTTGGCCAGTACCCACTAAATGCCAGTAGTACCCTCTGCCCAATGATGACAAAAAGAAGTCTCCAGATTTTTGCCTGATGACCCTTAGAGGACAAAATTGCCCTGATTGAGAACCACTAAATTAGTGTTTATAAAAAATATGAAATTTTCTAACACATTCCCTAATATATCAGTCATGTTTGAACAAATTCATGTATCAAAAAAGTGTTAGAGCAGAAATTACTTTTATTAATTTGATGACTAGACAAGGGGAAAGAATCTTTCCCAAGGAAGGGGCTACTGAACAAACAAAACAGTTGTCCATTAGACAAGTTGTTTAAATTAATGGAAAGAAGGAGCTGGAGTCATTTTTGCAGCAATCATGATTATTCTGTATATTTCTATCATTTTAGTTACCTCTGACTTTTGAGGATGTTGCCATTTATTTCTCAGAGCAAGAATGGCAGAATCTAGAGGCATGGCAGAAGGAACTTTACAAGCACGTCATGAGAACCAATTATGAGACACTTGTCTCTCTAGGTAAGAAGCATTCAACTTTGGGAGGATAGGTCAGTAGTAGCATCTGCTCAGTATGCATGAGGTCCTGGATCAATCCCCAGCAACACAAAAAATTAAAAGCTACAATAAAAGAGCTGGCAGAGTGGCTCAATTGGCAGAGTGCCTGCATAGCAAATGTTTGGCCCTATATTGCCAAAAAGAAAAAAAACTCTGAAAAACTACAATAAAAGAAATGCATGGGAATGATACACACCACATTCAAGGTAGTGCTTATCTGTGGAGAGAAATACCAAATTCGGGGGCTTAAATTGTGTGATGTTGCCCATCTTTAAAAAACCTGAAGCAAGTGTGTCAACATGGTAAGATTTCACAAAGTCAGATAGCACTTGAGCTTTGTGCTCTTTATTTTTTCAAACGTTATATGCATGTACTTTTTTGTGGGGGGAGGGGAGTGGTACTAGGGTTTAAACTCAGGACCCCGTGCTTGCGAGGCAGGCACTGTACCACTTGACCCATGCTTCAACCCTAGAAATATTTTTATTAAAAAAAAAAAAAAAAGATCCTTCTTTGGTTCACAAGCATGATGACTGGGTGTTCATGTCTTTGCGTGATATGTGCCTCCCTCAAACCTTGTTACAACACTGGCATATTACCCTTCTGATGTGAAAAAAAAGAAAAAAAAAGCATTATTTTTAAAAAACCCTTTTAATGAAATTTTTGCCTCAGCTTTAAAATTCAACCCCTCATATATGGCTATTATTAAATAGCTATTAAGAATGTTTAGCCAGGCGCTGGTGGCTCACGCCTATAAATCATAGCTACTCAGCAGGTAGAGATCAAGAGGATTGTAGCTTGAAGCCAGTCTGGGCAAATAGTTCCCAAGAGTCTATCTCAAAAAAACCTATTACAAAAATAGGGCTGGTGGAGTGACTCAAAGTGTAGGCCCTGAGTTCAAACCCCAGTACTGGTCCCCTCTCCTCCCCCGCCAAAAAAAAAAAAAGAATATTGAAACATTTGCCATTGTGTTTTGGGGCAAAATACAGCATTGCTGGATACTTGTTATGGGGACCATAAAAAAGTAAAACAGCACAACTAGTGTAACAGGCCCAGATAGACTAGGAAGCTTTGTTAGATGGGTAGGCAGTTTTGCTCCTCATTTATTTTGGTGGTAGTGGGATTCGACCTAGCCTCATGTGGTTAGGCAGGTATTCTATCATTTGAGCCATACACTCAGTCCTCTTTTTGCTTTATTTTTCAGATAGAGTCTCTTTCTCTCTCTCTCGCTCTCTCTTTTTTTTTTTTTTGGTGGCCTTAGGGTTTGAACTCAAGGCCTCACTCTTGCTGGGCAGGTGCTCTTACCACCTAAGCCTCTCTGCCTGCCCAGGTCTCTCATTTTTGCCTGGGGTTGATCTCAGACCTCAATTGATCACCCTACCTATACCTCCTAGGTATGTGCACCAGCATGCCTGGGCCTGTTGAGATGGGATCTTGCTAACTTTTTTTGCCTAGGCTGGCCTCAAAACCCCATCCTCTGGATCTACACCTCCCAAGTGGCTGGGGTTACAGGCAAGCAACATCACACCTGGCCAGTTTTTGAGAGATTTGGAAACAAGTTAACGTGCTGTAAATATCATGCTCGAGGAAGCTGATCTGTCCTGTCTAACTTCTCTGTGCAGATGATGGACTTCCTAAACCAGAACTAATATCCTGGATTGAACATGGAAGAGAGCCCTTCAGGAGCTGGAGAGAAGCACAGAAACTAGGAAAAGTGACTCATGCCTCTGCTGATGTGTATTTTGACCCAGTTATTGATCGACAGCTGTTGGAGAGTAAGTATTAAGACATCACATTGAGATTTCATAATTTTACTTCTTGTGATCTTGTCTACCTGTTTGGCTGACCGGAGACTTGATGTCTTACACATTCTGCTGTAAAGCACAGTGGTGAGTAGTGTGGGTTTGGGAGATGGAGTCTGATTTTGGCTTTTCCAGATGACCTTGGACAAGTCATTGAACCTCTCAACATTTCAACTCCTGACCTATAAAATGAAGCTAGTGAAAGTATCTACATCATGAAACAGGCTTAGTGTGTCTAGTGTTAAAGTGGCCCCTGGCACACAATAAGAGCTTGGTAACAGAAGCTGTTCTTAGTACTAGATGGTAAAGAAGAAAAACAGAACAAGATGGCTTCTCTACTACCTGCAGACGAGAGAGAGAGAGAGAGAGAGAAATAGAGCCAATTATTGCTGTATGGGCTTAGGGACAGAGAAATGCACAGACAACCTATAGCTGTGGTATTAGTTAATTGTTAAGGAACTTAATGCCATCATCACCTTGGGGCTCCAGGTAAGTCTCTACATAAACTGGGGTGGGTCTGAGGGTCCTGCAGTTGTTTGTGTCAGTATTCAGCAGTTGCAGAGAGGACACACACATACCAGGCACCATGCTTGGCACTTCATGCACATTATCTCATTTACTCACGCCCTCTTAAAGTACTGTTGACTCCTTGTTTTCACAGGCTAAGAAGCCGAAGCTAGAAGAGATTAGTGTGACAGAGTTCACAAAGTGGGCAGATGGGTTTCATTTACCCAGGCAGTGTGATTCCAGAGCTTATTTTCCTCTTTTCAATATTATTATAAGATAGGTTTGCTCAGTTCAGTTTCAGCAGACTGTTGCCAAACTCATTTTGGTCACGAAATAGATCACCCTACGTGCTTAGGTAGGTTAGTGGAAGCAAGGTGCTCAGACATCCCAGGTCACCATTACAGATCACCTTACTAATGATCTTTACTTGGGCCATAGACAGGAAGACTATTTCTTTTCCAGGGGGAAGAAGGGGCCAGTACTGGCACTTGAACTCAGGGCCTCACAATTGCTAGGTAGGCACTCTGCCAGCTCTGTTTGTGTGGGATATGTTCAAGTTAGGGTCTCTTGAACTGTTTGCCCAGGCTGGCTTCAAACTACAATCCTCCTGATCGCTGCTTCCCAAGTAGCTAGAATTACAGGCATGAGCCACCAGTGCCTGGCTAAGACTGTATTTTTTGTTTTCAATTTCAGGAAGCCAGAAAGCTGTGGAATCAGGAGAAACTAAATGTTATTTCCAGTTATATCCTCTTCAGAGCCAGTATTCCTTTGGGCCCGATATAAGAGAAAGGGAAGACATTTCCTTCAGGCCTGACCAAGGCATCAGCCTCACAAACCCACGGAGACATGACACACAGGCTTTAACTGCAGTGCTGCACAGCTCTAGTGAGTCTGACCAAGAAAAAGAAATCTCATGTGACAGAATTCTGGGTCTCCCTGGCTTGCATGAAGTCCCCTCCTGGCAGAGTACTCAACATCCTTGCCCTGTCTGTGGAGAGAGCTTTTGGAAGAAGAATGATTTAGCAAAGCACCAAAAGAACCACTCAAAGGACCCACCGTGTAGGGCTCGGAAGGTCAACAAACAAGCTGATACACAACAGCAGTGGACCATTGTGGGGACACAGAGGCCCTTTCCATGTTCTGATTGTGGGAAGCGCTTCTGCCGGAAGCAGTATTTGCTGAGACACCTGGCCAACCGTATAAAGAAGAGCCCATTCTGGAGCTGTAAATGCAAAATGTGCTTCCATCATGAGCAGACTCTTAGCTACCACCTCTTGCACAAGGGAGAGAAGCCTACACAGTTCCCCAAATGTGACAAAAGCTTCTTCTCAATGGGCAGTGCAAAGGCTCACCACTGCCACTATGGCGTGGTGGGGCCAGCCTCCCAAAGAGAAGGCACCTGTGTATGCTCAGGACAAAAGCCAGGCCTGGGCCTGAACTCTGAGGAGTGCTGCCACAAGGACAGCGTCTCCCAGGCACTGTGGAGCGGCCACAGCCACGGTGGGGAAAAGCCCTGCTCATGCACAGAAGGTGGCAGCTGCTGCCATTCAAGGTCCAAGCTGGCCAACCTCTGCCTGACGCACACAGGAGAAAAGCCCTTCCCGTTCAGCCACCTGCAGCAAGTCCAAGAGCGTGTCTACAGTGGGGAGATACCATTCTCCTGCAGGAAGTGTGGCCAGGCCTTTCCCAAACTGTGTAAACTCACAGAGCATGTCCAAGTGCACGGCGGGGAGAAGCCGTTCTGGTGTGCCAAGTGTGGCAGGAACTTCCGCCTAAGGCGACAGTTGCTGAAGCACCAGCGACTGATGCACACAGACAAGAAGCCTTTTCAGTGCTCGGAGTGCGAGTTGCGCTTCCGCCTGAAAAGCATGTTGCGAGCCCACCAGCTCCAGCACCGCGGAGAGAGGCCATTCTCCTGCAAGGAGTGTGGCCGGGGCTTCACCCACCAGTGGAAGCTCCGCGATCACCTGCGAGTGCACAGTGGGGAGAGGCCCTTCCAGTGCTCTGAGTGCCACAAGAGCTTCCGTGTGAAGGGCATCTTGAAGGCTCATCAGCACACCCACAGCACGGAGAAGCCCTTCTCATGCGGGGAGTGTGGCAAGGGCTTCACCACACGGTCCAAGCTCAAGGAGCACTTCCGCGTGCACAGTGGTGAGAGGCCCTTCCAGTGCCCCGAATGCGATCAGAGCTTCCGCCTGAAGAGGCAGCTGCTTAGCCACCAGGTCCTGCACACAGGGGAGAGGCCCTTCCCGTGCCCCGAGTGTAGCAAGAGCTATCGCACGAAAGCGGACTTGAAAGCTCACCAGCTGCTGCACAGCGGGGAGATGCCGTTTTCCTGTGAGTGCGGTAAGGGCTTCACCAAACAGTCTAAGCTGCTGGAACACATCAGGACGCACACGGGAGAGAAACCTTTTCAGTGTCCAAAATGTGACAAGAGTTTCCGCTTGAAAGCACAGCTGCTCAGCCACCAAGGCCTGCACACAGGGGAAAGACCTTTCCAATGCCCAGAATGTGATAAAAACTTTCGGGAAAAGGGCCAGATGCTCAGGCACCAGCGCATCCACAAGCCAGACAGGCTCTTTGCCTGTGGGGACTGTGGGAAGGGCTTCATTTATAAGTCTAGACTGGCTCAGCACATAAGAGTGCACACAAAGCCCTGTCCTGCTCCAAGTAAGCCTGACACCAAGAAACGGCTCAGCCAACTGTTGGCAATGATAGAAGCTGACTGGAGTTAAGGCAGGTGGCATAACAAATCGGCAGCCAACTGTTGCTCAGGAAACCTCAGCAACCGCAGCCAAACCCACCTCAAGGCATTTTAGGAAAAAGGGTCCTACTTTGACCAAGAATGTAATGCAGATCAGGAGTATGGGAAAACATAAAGCATTTTCTCTTTTTTTTAATTTTTTTCCTTACTGGGGTTTGAACTCAGGGCCTACACCTTGAGCCACTCCACCAGCCCTTTTTTTGTGATAGGATTTTTCCAGGTAGAGTCTCACAAACTCTGCCCAGTGTGACTTGGAACTTCGATCTTTCTGATCTCTGCCTCCTGAGTAGCTATGATTACAGGTGTGAGCCACTGGCACCTGACTGTATTTTCTTATTGCTTCTGAAACATCACCAATTAATTATATTTTCTATGCATTGATAAAAAGAGACACTTGATCTGCCTACCATCTTAGGTGGTAATTTCTACCCAAATGCAAAGTTAGCTCTTAAACCCCAGCCTGAGTTAAGACAGATGGAAATCCTTCCAGTACCATTCTCAAGGCTGAAAGGACGGGAATGGCTCATAAAAGTCAATTCTACTTTTCTTTTCTCTCTTCAGCGTATGATCCTAACTTAAGTGGGCTAAGTCCACTGAATTTTGTTGCTGGTCTGATGGTCTTGGATTTGATTTTGGTTCATTTATTTTGAAGCAATAAGATGAATTCCCTGAATCTTTGTTCCTGTGAATGCTGAAGTTTCTTGGCAGGTTCCTTGGTGATTATGCAAGGAAATACTAATCTGAGTTGAGGAAACAAATTGAAATTGCTGAGAGGTATGGAAGGGATCACAGATTGAGAGGTTGAGTTAGGGGATAAGACATGCTACTTGAAGCTGAAAAGAGTGAAGACATTCCCAAGAGTGAATATTTGAGCAGAACTAAAGGCTGAGTTATGACAAAATAGCAATGCTAAACAGCTTAATAAGGACACATACTAGGTAATAACAGTTTAGAGTAGGGAGTTTCAAAGCAAATGTTCACAGTAATACAAGTAAGTCCAAGAAAAAGGTGAGGCCTGCCCAGTTTGTTACATTTGCTCATACGAAGGTTATATGAACACCAAGAGTGCATACCCTAGGGACAAAGTCACATTCCACACAAAGAACTCCAATTTTCAGAGGGAATTCCAAGGGACTGTAATAGACATTACTCTAAAACAGTGTTTCACAGATGATTTTCTCTGGAACACTAGCTCCAAAGATTGTCTATAGGAAAAGAATGAGATGGACAATTACACATGATCCTAATTAGATGTCTATTGTTGCATTCTTTTTTGGCTTTGAATACGCAGTGTTCCTGGCTCAATCCCCAGTGCTGGGGTTATAGTTGCGTACCACCTTGACCTGTTATTGCCACATTGTTAAGTATGCATGGTAGGCAAAGGTTAAAAATCATTTGAGAAAAAAAAAATCAAAATCTTTGAACTAAAAGAGAAAGACCAAGGTAAGAAAATGTATATCCTGGGCAAATCATAATTCAGGAATAAAAGCTAAAATTCAGAAACATTCAGAAAAACTGGAGAAGGCACCATTATCATAAAAAGGAAGTTTTAGGAAAAATAAAGTATCTGAAAACAAAATTAACTCCTAATTAATTTTTTAAAGTGTGATGGCTAAAATCTAAAATAATCATACAGTAGGATTAGTCACAGAAATCTGCCAGAAAATAAAGCACAAGATCCAACAGGTGGAAAACAAGGTAAAAGGAGAAGAATTGTGCAATACTGGGGTTTTGCCTATACTTTTTTAACCAAGGGTTTTTTTTTTTTTTCCTTTTTTACCTTCACATTTTTTATTAATACCTGGGTTTTTGTTTGTTTGTTTGTTTTGTTTTTTGGTGGTCCTGGAGTTTGAACTCAGCGCCTTATGTTTGCTAGGCAGGCAGGCACTCTAACAACTTGAGACAGGCTCCCAGCCCTATATATTTCTTAATAATATATATGCATATATGATGTGATTTGGGAGTGGGTAAAAGAAATCAAGCAAATGGGGGGTGGAAATTCAGATGTAATTACCTTTTTTGGTTGGGCATTTTTTTTTTTTTTTGGCAGTATGGGAGTTGAACTCAGGGCCTCACGCTTGCTAAGCAGGAACTCTACTACTTGAGCAACTCCACCAGCCCCAGATGTAATTACCTTGTGATCACAAGGCAATTTTGAAATTTCAAAAAGTAATAGACCGAGCTGGGTGCTAGTGGCCATGACTGTAATCCTACCTACTCAAGAGGCAGAGATGAGAAGGATCAAGGTTTGAGGCCAGCCTGGGCAAAATAGTTCTCCACACACCCCATCTCCAAAAATAATAATAACATCAGATGCAAGTGTGAATCCCTGAGTTCAAAACCCAGTTCTACCATGAAAAACAAAGTAATATAAAAGTGAAATTTAAAATTCAGTATCCCAAAGGTCTGAAGACTTCTTTTAATTGTTTTTAGAATTTACAGGATATATAAAGTCTGTATATATATATATATATATAATAATTCTAAGCTCATTCAGAATTATAAGGGGCAGAAAGGTTTTTATTCCAAACTCCAATATTACAGAGGAAACAAAAACCACAATAAATTGTCTTGCCCACAGTCTCATACTTAGATAGTAGCTGGACTAAGACACTGCAGATCTGATTTAATGGCAGGAGTTCTTCTACTGCACTTAATTGAAAAATCTAAGAAAATCTAAGAAATGCATGTTCTATGGGTAAGAAATAACTAATGCTCAAACAAGCCAACACAGTTACCTAAACCAGCTAGTTCATTGCAGAAGAGGAGGGGGAAGCCACAGTTTTCAAAATATGAAAAAACAGAAGGGCAAGAGAATGGAGAAGAGTGTTCAGTGTGAAATAACAGGTGTAGTCAGTTACCAGTGGTGTCTGGGAAGAGGACTGTTCTGTTAAATAGGGAAGAAAAGCAATTTGGGAATTAATGGAAACCGTTTAGGATGTGGGGGGACAAAGGGATTATTTAGGAACAAAATGGCAACTTCTTTCAAGTTGAATGTAATTCATTGCTTCACTCTACAAAAATAGTTTTAAGGGAGTGTTTCCATCCTAAAACGGGCAGTTTGGAGTTAAGTGAAGTAGCTAAAAGTCTAGTTCTAAGTGTAACAAAATACAGTTTGCAGACGTTTTACGATGAAATGGGAATATGGTAAAGAAAAACAGGATTTTTTAACTGTGACCAGGGGAAACCAGTATCATAACCTAATGAGAAACACCCAGTAGAGGGAACAAAAAAGGACAGTGTGGTTCCATACGGTGCTGCTCACTATCCTCCCAGCTAGATCAATTGTGAGTCAAATACCCCGCTTCACGCAGATCCGGGGTTCAAACAGGAGCCGGGAAGTTTACATGCGTTCTTATCCGTTGCAGCCATCAGCCAGTCACTCGGTCCCCACCGGCAGCAGCGGTAGCCACACGCAGTTGAGCTTTATACTAACAGAACCGTGGCATCTAGCCAAGTTACTACATAGACTGCACAGGCGAATCCGGCTAGTTGTTACAACAGTGGTCCTTGAATGGTTACGCAGTAACAGTGTCCTTCTCTCTAGAGTGTGTCTGTGTGCAGACGATTAGTTTAATAATCACCTTCCTTACCGCCAGGCTCCCCAACTCTGTGAGTAACCCGCCCCCGGCGTGTTCTCGCGCCCCTCTCTCCGCCCCTTCCGAGGCCTTCCGGCGCACTTGCGCGCGGCGAGCCCCCGCCCCGAGCACAGACTGACCAGAGGCCGCCCTTTTGGGCTCCGCCCGCGGTCTCGGGCCCTCGCTGAGTACTCGCGAGAGGGCTGGGGCGGGGCGGAGAATCGGCAGGTGGCATCAGATGCTGAGGCCGGCGGCGGTGCCAGCTCAGGGACAGGGGCGGACGGTCGGGCCAGGCGCGCCCCTCTGCGGAATGTCTGGACGGAAAATCTGCAGCCGCGGCCGCCGGTGTCCCAGGGCGCGTGCCGGCCCCACGCGGCGTTCCTTGAAGCGGACGCTGGGTTTTGAGCCTCGTTGCCCATCCGTCGTGGGCCCCAGTGGGCGCTCTAACAAAGTCTGGCGGAGTCCGTTTGTTGATGAGCGACGGTCCTGCGTCCAGGGCTGGCTTAGCGTGTCCGCTTCCCTGGAGCTCCGCTCGCGCCCTGCGATGCTGGGAGGCCCTGGGTGAGTGAGGAAGGGCTGGAAGGAGAAAGGAAAGAGCAATTGTGAGTGAGAAAAGGAAAGGGTCCAGTAAGGGGACTATTTAGTATAGTACGAAAGTAATATACCAAAGTGAAATCAATAAAGATCGGCATTTTAGTTACAGCTCTTTAGAAAATTATAATGGTGGTCGCAATTTTATTTTAGTTTCACGCCTTTCAAAGACTATCCCCGCCCCCGCGGGTGGGGGATGAGATTGCAGTAACTCAGCTTCCTGATACTGGCCTAAATTAAGCCGTGTTTCCCAAGAAACGTGGCAATTCATCATTACCTTTCTCAGGAATGCAAAATACATAAAAAGTCACTGAATGGAATCCTCAGAGACGATGATCCAACTCCCTCATTGCGAAGATGAGTAAAGTGAGTTTCAGAGAGGCTGACGTGATTGAGAGGGGAGCCCGGCTTCTTGAGTTCCAGTTCTCTGCTCTCCCTCCTCCCTCCAACAGATACACATAAGTATCAATGATTAGTATTTACAGTATTGCCTCTCTGGGGTCTTTACCATCTAATCAAGCTGCTAGTTCACATTTTTCAAATTAATAAGCTAAAGAACATTTTCCTTATTTGCCTTTGTAACTTCCAGGGAAAGTGATGTTTTGATTTTGTGGTACAAAAATTTTATAGAAGGTAATGGATGGTTCGCCATTTATTTCTGACAGTTGTGTTCTTGAAGCGAACTGTCAGTTTTCAGCTTAAATTTCATTTTAGTGGAGCAAAACAATTCCAGTTGTAGAAGTCTCTGCAGATGTAACTTATTTCTTGCTTATAAATACATGGTCGTTTGTAATCAGATCTCAGAGAAAATGTGCAAGGCAAAGTCTGTGTGTACTCTATCACACAGTAGAACATGGTTATACCATGTGCTATAGTAGGTGCTTAACACAACTACCAATGTCCTGAGGAGGGTTTTCATTTAATTGAATCAAATGACTCCTTTCTCCAGTCAGAAATAAGTATCTGGGGCAGTTCCAATGACTGACTTCTTGACTACTTCCTGCTTGCACACTTATTCCTGTAAAACAAAGGCCTATTATGTTCATTAGTTCACTCCTGTCAGGGTATCAGTCTGCTTTGTTTGCAGAGTTTGTTAACTTCTGCATGCTCTACAATCTCAGAACTCAGGAGGTGGAGGCTGGAGGATTGGGAATCTGGGAATCGGAGGCCAACCTGGGCTCCATATTGAGACCCTGTCTCAAAAGAAGACTAGCAAAATCATTTTGAGCTTCTTCCTGGATTTATGTCACCAAAGTCTTCACCTATTTCTCATATTGAAAATTATTCCTTCTCAAGAGTCCTTTAGTAACTCCTCATTTGATATGAACAAAGATAAAAGGGCTTTAAAACTTGCTAATGAACATCACTTGTGGCTGGTGAGTATTTGTAAAAGTTTCCATTTAAGTTAGGGACCCTCCACTCAGTGTTTTGTCCCAAGTCCTTGACTTTGATTGCAGAATAAAAATTTCTGAACAAGTCACAATGGTAAGACAATTTGGCAGAACTTTATTGAGCAAGCAAGCAGAAAGCAGACACTAACAGGTAGAGTGTAGGTGCTCTAAGGGGGACACACCGAGCAATTTTGATAGCGGGTAATTTGTAAGGAAGGTGAGTTTTGGGTTTTGGGTCTAATTCACCTTAGGATAAGTGCTCCCCTTCGTTCTGACACCTGGTATGATTAGTTGTTTTTGCTATTACCTTATCAATTGGACTCACAGATTTCAAGGTTGGCCCATTCATTAAATTTGGGTCATTATGACATAGATGTTTGAACATCCATTTAAACAAAGGATGGGTCCTGCCAAATGCTCCCTTCAAGATATGTATCCAGGACTGGCAGAGTGGCTCAAGTGACTGCCTAGCAAGGGTGAGGCTCTGAGTTCAAATCCCAATACTGCCAAAAAGAAAAGCAGGTGTCCGTCTTCTTTTAATAAGTGTTTTCC